GACTCGGTGGTGGACGACGTGGTGGACGAGGTTGTGGAAGGATCAGTGGTAGACGACGTGGTGGACGACTCGGTGGTGGATGACGTGGTAGACGAGGTTGTAGACGGATCAGTGGTCGACGACGTAGTAGACCATGTGGTGGATGACTCGGTGGTGGACGTCGTTGTCGTAGTGGAAGACGAGGTCGTGGTCGTGGTAGCGATAGTAGAGGTGGACGACGTGGTAGGTTCAGTCTTGGCGCAGTCACCCTCTGTGACGGTCACAGCACCAGAACCTGAGCCAATAGCTACCAGGTTGGAACCGCAGTCGTCCGCGGCAGCAAAGTGAAGGGCGCGGTTATCCCAGTCGTAAACAACATAAGCGGCCCGCAGAAAAGTGTCGCCGAGGACGGGCATCTTGTCATCGGGGACGGCGCCAAGGACGCAAGAGTTAAAGCTGGGCTGCTGCCAGATGAAGTCGCTGTAGGGGACACGAATGGTGGCATTGTCAAACTTGAAGTCAAGGGTGCCCGTGGTTTTTACGACGCCGCAATCGACAAGATACTGGCCGTTGGTCTCCTTTTTGGCCGAGGGAAAGGCCTTGAGAAGCTCGTTGAAGATGGTGGTTGGCAGAGAGCTTATTGTATAGCCAGAATCAAAGAGGTAGACCTGGGGTTGGGTCTGAGCATTAATCTTGGAGCCATCTGCCTGATTGATAGTGATGCTGTCGCAAGTAGCCCAGTAGCGAGTCTTGCCATCGGGGGCCGAGCCGGCCGGGATAATGTTCCTCTTGATGAGGGGGCCCTTGAACTTCTTGGTGTCGATACCACCAAATACGACGGCACCACGCGCGCTAGAGACCTGACGAAGATCCAGAGAAAAGGCCCTGCTGTTGATAAACTTTTGGGTGAACAGGTTATCGAGGATGTAAGGGTACGGGCTGTTCCAGCCACGCAGGTTGGGGCCAACACCCATGAGACCGGTAGTGGCAAACTCGGAATCGTGAGCAACACCGAAGATCTGCTGGTTAATCTTGGAGGCTGGGGATTTGTGTCAGTTCAGGCATCAAAAGCCGACATTTTACGGAAGCAATGCTTCATCATTGATACTTACTGCCGACAGTGACATAGTCGTAGCCGTACTCAATATCGGCATGACCACGGCCGTACTTGAGGGTGGCGTTCTGATTGAGGCTGGTGAATGAAGCAGACTTGCCGAAAGCACCAAAGGTCTTGCAGTAAGCCTCATCCGAGGATTTGGCGCAGTTGGGGTTCACCCAAAGCTCGGAGGAGCCAGTGTCGAAGTTGACGGCGACGGTCTGAGGCGGCGTGCCAATTTCGAGATCAATGGTGTAGAAGAAACCAGTCTGGCGGTTTGCGAGACCAGCCTCGAACTGGCGGCGCAAGTGCTTATCGAGAGCCTCCTTGTTACCGGCAAGAGGGAATCGCACCACGCCAGGGCCCTCGAAAAAGTTGTTTTCGTCGACGGACTCGAGAGCATAAGCGGCTAGCGGCAAGACCGCAGCCGAGAGAAGAGTAGAACGCATGTTGAATCCTTCCTCTTGGGAAAGAGAAACCCCAACCTATGCCGGCGTAAAGAGTGACCGACGAAGGGGAAAACGACAGTTATTGAACGGAACGAATACTAAAGACTGTCGATAGTTGGTTGTATATAAGAAAAGACAAAGAAAGGGTTAGCAAGAGAAAGAGAGGGAGGATCTAGATCGGGACCGTGCAGAAACTGGACAAAGAGTGTATATAACGGGCCGCGCAGAAAGACAAGGCATCCAGTGACGCAGAAACGCCATGCTGGCGGATTCTTGGCTGCATGGCTTACAGCAGAACGTATGAAGTCTCGCTCGCCCTTGGGCCTTTGGCAAGCCAAGTGGGCCAAGGGAGGCCCAAGTTCCGCGACTTTTACCCAGTTGATCGTGGTTCGTTGTGAGTTGCGCGCATGGGCCGGGGCTTAGTAGCGCACAGTGGAAATTAAGAGTATCATTAAGGGTATCCACGTGCTTTAGCCATGGAAGATGTCGACGCCGGCACGCCGGGCGGGTTTATGCAGAACTCTCACACTGTGGAATGGCTTGAAGTGGCGAGCGGTGGCCTAGGCCGGGCGCGGCGCGCGCGGGGGCGAAGTTTAAAACATGTCTTTGTCTATGAGCCATGCGGACGCGAGGGCGCTTCCCAGTCATCAGTGTTAGACACAGACAAACCGGTCATGAGGTTGGCCCTGGCAGTGCTGGCGGAGGTGTGTCTCTCCCTGACGGGAGCTATTCAGACCCTGACAACCTGATTGCCCGATTGGCAAGTTGTCCGAAGCCTGACATGCCTGAACAAACCCGACAGGACGAGAAAGAGAAAAAAGCTGCGGGCCCGAAGTTGCAGATTGTGGGGTGGCGCGGAGCAGAATTGAAGCCAGGTGGATAGTCTTGCGGAGGCTTGCCAGGAACATAGTTGAGAACTGATTTTGCGTAATACTTCGTATTGTCTCTACGACCTATTCGACTGGGTGGCTGTTGACCTAGGAGTTGTCCACTGCCAAGCTGCGTGGCGCCGTAGTGAACTCAGCTCTCAAACTGTCGTCTTCCGAGACGAATCTGGCCCGTGGGTGCAGCTTCTTGGTGACATGCGAAATGAGGCAAGGGGCGGCGAGCGGATGAAGTGCGGGGGGCCGTGCCCATGTGTGCTGGCGATGGAAATGGAAAAGGGCTGCGCCCATCCCAGCGATGTTCTCCAATTTCGTACCGACAGCTGTCTAGAAGAATGCAGGTAACCTTTTGGTAGGGACGGCACGTCCGTTGGTTTGATTAGACACCTGCAACAACAAGTCGGTCAGCCGTCAAGAAATAGGGTTGCTGTGAGCGTGCGCAGCCTCAACGACGTCAGCCGTGGTGGCCGTTTCCAAGAATAGTGCCTTCCCAAAACCTAGTCTAGGGAAAGGAGGAACGTGCTTGCGTGTGTGTGGCGGATCGCCTTGGCTTTGAGCCTTTGACAGAGGAGTGGTCCGCCAAGGTCGTCGATTGGTGGAGTGTGAGTGAGGCCAATATTTTTTTGGTTGATGAAAGACACGAAGCTGACCCATTGCCCACCAACCCACCAATGCTTTTGTTTCCCCCTGCCTAGATCGTCGGTGGGGCCACACAAGCCTTGTTTTTTCAGCGTTTTCCCCCTTGTCGCTCTCTGTTTTCTCTGGGGCAAGTCGTATGCATTTCGGACAATTAATACATAGTCATTAACAACGATGCCACAAATTAGTCCAGCGTGTTTGTAGATGTTGTCCGCACTTGACCGATTGGCATAAACATGGCGTGGGCTGGATATGCCCGGGGGAGGGCGCGCTCGCTCGCACTCTAAAAGTCTGGTCTATTGAAGGGAGAGCATTTCAAGACCATACCAGCAAATTTTATCCGTTGCGTTCGCATCGCGGGTCTCAGATGAAAGGCGATACCCCGAGACGCGGTTTTACTCTGGAACGATGGAGGCTCTGGACAAACGCATATTCTCTGTGTTTGCGGGCCCTGAATTTATGCCGGCAGGCACAGTGGCCCGTGCTTTTCGCTGAATGTGCGTCTACCTGCGTACATTAATGATGCACATTTCAGGACAATTAATTCATAATCATCGTTTAAATTATGCTGGGCTCGGAAAATATCTCACCCACATGCATCAACGAGCCTTGCTTTGTTGGAGATGCCGTTCTGGTCATCCAGCTGACCCACATCTTTTGCTCCCTTTATACCGGGATAGTCTGGATATCACTGGTACGCCGCCGATTACTATGGGAGCATACCAGGCCAGGCAAATGGCCTGTTGGAGAGGACAATGGCAGATTTCTTGGCTTTGGTCGAATCCGGCTTGGTCAATCGGTCTGTCTATTTGATTCTTTCGTTCTTTTAATACACTATCCGTACGGATTACAAGCTAGCAAGCTCGCCAAGAATGAACGCAATCTCAACCACACCACCAATCTCGGTTGGCATGACCGCCATCTGCAATGGCAGCATAAATATGCATCCCGAAGTTAACTAGCAACGCCGGTCAAAGGTAAATTGCGCAATGTACAAGGCTGCATGCGAGATTGCGAGCTACTTTGTCCTCATCCGATACACGCCAACAAAGGCACTGATAATGTAGCATCAAGGGTAGGTAAAATGCTGGTCGGCATCTTGTGGGTGTTGAGACTACCTTCTCCAAATTGCATTGTCACTGCGGCTTAAGCCAAAGTTATGGGAGGACCGCATGAGTCAATCGCGAACATACTGGTATAACAATAACGGGCACTAGCTCACTGCAGTAACATGCGGTGTTGGTATAATGAAACATTGCAATACGTCACAAGAGCGGCCCTCTCTGTAGGCCAACTTGTATTCCGTCCGTCTCTCCTACGCAGCCCAGACCGGATCGCCACTCACATCTTGGCCTTTGACTTACCCTCCCCCTCCCCAGGGAGTCAGGCGGCCTTTTTGTTGATCTCAGCGACAATCTCCTTCTCGAGCGACTCGGGGGTGGTGGTGCTCGCCCAGCGGTTGACAACGCGGCCGTCGCGGCCCACGAGAAACTTTTCAAAGTTCCACTTGATACGCTTGAGGCCCAGGAGGCCCGGCCGCTCGCTCTTCAGCCACTCGTACAGTGGCGCGGCCTTGTCGCCATTGACTTCCACCTTTTGCATGATGGGAAAGGTAACCCCGTAGTTGACCTGGCAGAAGCTCTGAATCTCGTCGTTGCTGCCGGGCTCCTGGGAGCCAAACTGGTTGCAAGGGAAGCCGAGCACGACAAAGTCGTCGGGGTGCTTTTCGGTGATGGATTTATAGATTTTCTCGAGGCCGGCGTACTGGCCAGTGAAGCCGCACTTGGAGGCCGTGTTGACGACGAGGACGACCTTGCCGCGGTAGTCGGAGAGAGGCACCTCCTGCCCGCGCTCTGCATGGCCAAAGGTTAGTGATGAATGATGGCAGTAAATGTGACAATAAAGGCGTTACTTGGCGCAGCGCAGAATGCTGCGTTGCTGGACCGTGCAGGAGCCTGGGGGGGGGGGGGGGGAACCCTGCGAGATAGCTTTCCGCAGGGTGAGGGGAGCTTACTGTCGAGCGGCTTAAAGTCGTAAAAGGTGGTGGCAGAAGACATGTTGTTCGCAAAGCTGCTGTATTCTTTGGTGAAGGTACGCGATGCCGTATTTTGATGCAGATGTGCTGAAGCAAGTGGCAGGAGGTGGCGACGGAATTTAAAAAGAGGCGGCACGGCGGCCATGGTCACCCCACCCCGCCATGACGACGATGGTGCCCGGAGGCTCCCGCCTATCCGAAAAGCTGCAGCAGCGCGCATATCTGAATTAGATTGCTGTGAATGACCGGCTGTTTCTTTCTTCCCTCTTTCTCTTCCTCCTTTGTTTAAAATTTAGATTTTTGGCCCGATTTCGGAGCTTTGCTTGTACTTTCAGCGATGCCCGGCTCTACTCGGTCGCTTTCTGCCAGAATGGCCGCCCTGTGCAAAAGCTCTCGGACCAAGTCGTCCGAAAGGCCGTATTTCAAATCGCGGTTCTAGACAAGCCTCGGCCTCGGTGGATCACGGCAGCTTGCCCGCAGATAGCTTGAGTCGGTTGATGACATATGGCGAATGGGGATGCTGAGAAGAAGCCTGACAGCTTTTTTTCTGGGCCATTGGCTGTTTCGTCATGCCACGGTCGGCTCTGTGTTGTCCCGGGCCGCGTCAAATTCCAATTGTCAACAATGCACCTTTACGTATGATGCACAGAGATTGGAGGCTCTCGAGAACATCTAGCCTTGGAGATGTGACACAGGGTAGCATATTACAAAGTTTGTCATCCTTCTTCGTATTCGAAGCAGCGACAGCTCGGTTGCCGGATGTAGCTGCATATGCTCCGCCGATTTTATTTCACAAGATTTAGGAATCAAAAGAGCCTAGATTATATTATGTATCAATCACTGAAATGGTCCGATCTGAGCCAACTCCAAATTTACCTGGCCTCATTCCCTTCAATGTTCAAAAGCACCTCACGGTTACCTTTGGCGGGTCTCTGAACCCCGCCTGCGTCATGACTTGGCACCGATCGATCTCTCTGGTGGCAACGTCTAACCAACAAGCCCTCTACTTGTAACACGCCTTAGAGCTAGAGAGCCTCCGATTTCACGCCAACTCAATCAGAGACGAGGAAAAGATGGATGGACAGCGCAACATTTTCATAATAGGTCCGTAACGACCGCCCGCACCCAGGGCCCTCGCTGACCCCGTTTGCGCAGGCGGCGGCATAATCGGCAACACCATTGCCTACTTCCTCACGCGCCACCCCAAGTTCAATCCGGCCGTGCACCGCATCACCATTTTCGAAGCCGGCTCCGCCATCGCTACCGGCGCCTCCGGCAAGGCGGGCGGCCTGCTCGCGCTCTGGGCGTACCCGTCGTGCCTTGTCCCGCTGTCGTACCGGCTCCACGCCGAGCTCGCCGCCGAGCACGACGGCGCCGCGCGATGGGGCTACCGCAAGGTCAAGTGCGGCACCGTCGAAGCCTCTGTGCCAGAGAGCAAGATTGCCGCGATGCGCGCGAGGCGGCGCGAGGCCGCCCCGGGCGCGCAGGGTGGCGAGGAGGGCAAAGTGTGGGAGAAGCTGCCCAAGCAGGATGCAACCGCGCAGGAGCTGCTCAAGGAAGCGCCGCTGCCAAAGGATCTGGACTGGGTAGACAACGACGTGGTTCTGGACTGGACAGAGATGGCGCGCGGGGGAGCGGCAGACACGGCACAGGTGCACCCTTACCACTTTACCATGTCCATGGCAGGCCTGGCCGAAGCAGCGGGCGTCAAGACGAGGACAAAGGCGCAGGTGACTGATATCAAGGTAAAAAACGGTAAAGTTGAGGGCGTCGAGTACAAGGACCGCGAGACGGGAGCGACGGTGTCACTGGATGACGTAACAGACCTCATCGTGGCTGCCGGACCGTGGACGGGCAAGCTGCTACCGCGATCCAAAGTGGACGGCCTGCGCGCGCACAGCGTCGTGTACGAGGCCGACCTTAGCGCATTTGCCGTCTTCACCGATGTTGAGCTACCGCGAAGCTTTGTGCCCGAACACCGCGCCGCCAAGGGAGAAAAGAGGATGCACAAGGGCCACGTCGACCCCGAGATCTACGCGCGGCCCTTTAAAGAAGCTTACGCTTGCGGTACGCGCACATTCCCCTTCCTCTCCCACCAAACCAACTTGACCAGAGCTAACCGTGGCTTCCTTGCAGGCGAGCCCGATACCCTCGTCCCGCTGCCCGACGTGGTCGACGACGTGCGCCACGACGAGGGCCTTTGCGACGACATCACGGCCTACATTGCGACATTTAGCCGCATTCTGGGCGCCGCGCCCGTCAAGGCGAAGCAAGCGTGCTACCTCCCGCGGCACATGCGCTTCGGGCAAGAGAGCGGCCCGCTGGTGGGCAGAACGGTAGTGTCGGGGCTGTACGTGGCCTCGGGCCACACGTGCTGGGGGGTGCAGAATGCGCCGGCGACGGGCAAATTAATGGCGGAGATGCTGTTTGACGGCGAGGCGACGAGCTCGAATATTGATAACCTGGATCCCAGAAAGTTCAAGGTATAAAAAAGGAGCAATACACACACAACTCGATCGAGGCGAGGGCAGCAAAAATCCGAATGCGCGCGGCGCGGAGCTGCCCAATTTCGCGGTCGCTGACTACGGAAGCAGATGCGGTGTCTACGGGAAATACATCCTGGCACCTCATCACAGCAAACACTTTAATGCTGAGAATGTACGTACCTTATAGAAAGCTCGACGGAATATGGAAACGTTGTCAAAATCGACGCCATGACGAATTATAATGATGCCCAACTCGTCTACTCGTCCAGTTCAAGGAGCTGTCATCTGTTGTGTCCTCCGAATGTAGTACACGGACACAGCTAGTCGTCTGTCAACCTGAGATGTAAAGAATCAGCCTTGAATGTCGTCTAATGACATTGAAAAGCCGTTGCTAGCTTCTGTGATGCCACGGCCGCGTGATATGTGATGAAGCCCGGCGAGCCCAACGGGCGAAAATTGAACGCTTGTGTATGTACTTTCTGCGTCAAGAGCGATACTGCTGAACCTTGTTTTTTTTTCCCTCCGAAAACGAGACTGCATTTGGTGAAACAAGACCGTTTCGCATGCACTCACGGCAGAGTGCCGTGGCGTGCTTTTTTCTGCGGCTGAGCCAAGTTATTAAGTCGCCGAAACGCCCTTGATGAATGCGCACAACAAACACAAAAAGTCACGTCAAGTTTGCAAGATGAATGATCTCGATTTACCTAATTCATACGTTCGAGTCACCTTCTTGGGGAAAGGGGTTCTTCGTTTCCATTCGCGATCTGAATACCCTGCCGAGAGCTTCATCTCATTGCGTCAGCGCATGGCGCATTGCGCGACGAATGCACCACGAAGCGTACTCAATCGTGAGCTGGCCCGACAGCCAACAAACCTTCAGTCAGTCCGAGATGATCGATTTGAAAAGTTTTGCTACATTATTCGTTGTTTTTTTTTTTTTTCCAGACACTGTACCGTTTCCTCCCTGGCCCCCACAGCCCGGTCCCCGAAACCTCAGCCCACTCACCCTTGTTCAGAACTGCCGTGTTGTCTCACTATACAAGATGGGCATCTCCCACCCGGCCCGGAACCGAAAAAAAAAAAAAAAATAAAAAAAA